TAAAGTTGAAGTAACCTTTATGTTTCTTTATGAAATCGGCCGTTTTATTGCCTAAAAGTCTGAAAAGTAACCGACAATGTATATAACCACATAGTTCTCTATGCGGTTAGGTACAAAGCAGTTATTCGATTAATATCAGAAGCTACAAATTAAAAAATTATAAACCACCTGTGGTACTTGATTGAAAAATTTGATGTTATTGCTTCATTTAACGATAATGTAAAAATGGAAGTTACATAAAAAATTTCAATAATATAAACAGTATGCAAAAGCCAGAAAATTTGAAATTGAAACAGAAGACTTTGAAGAACTCTTAAAAAAAGATATGTGTGGCTTTCGATATATTTTTTGTAGTAATTTCCCAAGCTGAAATCAAATATTGAAGTATAGGGTATAACATAAGTCGGGTTATTCTAACGATTCTGGTTGGAAACAAAAAAAAAGTTACTTATGAACTACTGACTATTAAATTATTTCATTATATTTCGCAAGTGAATATTGCATTGTAATTCAGTTTCATGTTTAAAAAATTAGGTCTTAACTAATTGCGAAATTAATTTAATTTGAAGTATTTTGCAAAATTTGTACCAAACAAACAGGCAGACAAGAAAACCAGTTCATAAAAATGTGACGAAATAAACCATACCTTCATTTCAAATTTGTAAGGATCCTCAATTTTTCTTAAATCAAATGGACATGTTGAATATGCTCTCAGTGTATAATAAATTGTAGTGGTCTTTTCGTACTGTGAAACAACGATGGTATATGATCTTTCAGATTTTGGGCCAAGAATTATTTTACACAGGTAATGGGGACTATTAATTTTCACCCCATCAATATAAGGAGGGGGATCATCTAGAAGAAATTTTCTTAATTTGCTTATTTGTATGTATTCATCATAACTTACAGGGATAGTAAACTTTCTTTCCATTCTTATATACAAATAATGTTATATATTCCTTATTTTCTCTGAAATCTTCAATATCAACAATATGCCTGGTCAAAAGTAACCAAACTGCCCCAGGTGCATTTCCACTAACAAATAATGAATACTGTGGGTTGGAACCTACCGAATAAAGATCTTTAGCAGGACCAGTGCCAGCATTCCATGACCTGAAATATCGCGAAATTAATTGCTGTAAATTAAAATTTGTTTATTTTTTGACTTACTGATGTAAGCAATAAGTGAAATTAAACAGCTCAGGGTTCCAATTCATATAAAAAACCTCAAAAAATTTGCAAACTGATTCATAATCTATCCAAAATACACCATTATCAAAGTGGGCTGCACTGTTGGGATCATAGTTCAAAATACTCTGTAATTCAGGAGTCCAATTTTTCGCATCTAGTTCTGAAAAGTTGCCTCTCCACCTCATATGGGACCATGGATTCTTCAATTTCAGTAAGCGTACCTAAACAGTTAATAGTTCATCAATATATATCATTTCACAAGTTTGACTAAGGGTGGCATATAACAATTGCAAAAATAAACAAATGAACACTTATAATGTAATATACAATGTATCCACAACAAGCACTTTTTTCAACTCCTGAAAACGCCAACTTGGTGAAACGCGCGTCTGGGTGAGTACTGCAGTTCTGGTGATTGGGAAAAGTGTTTCTTTTGGATTTATTATATGCCATAGGTACTAGTGTCACCTTTTGTTAGCATATAATGTGTCCAAGATAAGGAGGGCTAGCATGGGAAAAACGGAAACTGTAAGAGATACAAAATCTGTAAAATTAAGAGAAAGTTGTCTATTTTAGCTTATCAAATGACGTTTTGAAATTTACTAATTAAACGATTATGGTGATACATCAGTGAAGTTTTCGCCAAAAAGACTCGCTTACATTGGTTGATTCTTTTTATGCTCCATTCAAGAAATGAAATTGGTAATGGTTTCTCAGAGACAAAACGTCGAATTGAAAATTTGTAAACCACTTTTGACATTTCAAAAAAATGTTCTTTATTTTTTAATATCTTCTTAATATCTTCAAAGTAATAAACTTTTTTCGAATTTCACAGAATTTGTATCCCTTATGGTTTCTGATTTTATCCTTATCTTGGTAGTAGGTATACCTTATCTTGGTAATAAGTAGTTTCGATAAATGTTTCTGTGATGGCAGAAATAATTCATTTATGTTGGCAAGAACTAGTTTGTGATTAAATGAAGAACTTGAATAGATATTTCACTATCACTGGCATCTGAAAATTTAAAGTTTGTATTTACATCTGATGAATACTTTTGGAAGTGACAGCTCAATAAAATCATTTTTGAAAAGAAACATCATTTTAAAAAAGTCAAAAGCTTAGGCAAACTTTCATGTATAGATTGGAATGGGCAAATTTAAAAATTATGACATTGAATATTTTCTCAACAAATGTATGAAATCTCTCGTTACTCCTACCTACAAACATAAAAATTAAAAGTAAATGGAAAAATATTGCAACTCCATTTATGATAAAGAATTGGAAACTTCCAAAAACTGAAAAAAAAAGTTGTCTCTCTTCTATACATATTTTGAAGGCAAATGTTTGACTGTCTCAGTATGTCCGAAGTGCTACCAATAGCAAACACTTCGAGGCTTAACTCAATACACCTCGAACTACATTTTTATGAAATCTTTCATTTGGATAACAGTTTCGGCATGGAATAAGCTTTTCGCCAACGTTTTCCCAAATGAATATAATTTACAGAAGATCAACTCCAATGCAAACCACAACTTTCAGACGTTCATCATTGTCAGAGTTGTCTTGAAATTTTCCTGCAGTGTGTATCTTAAAAAACATTAAATCTGCATTCGAGTCATCGCCCGATCGAGCAGGCGGTGTTTCTTTCGTCACTGACATTGTATCTGAATCATTGTTGGACGTTGGAGTTGGACGATAGCAAGTGAAAATCGAGCGTTCAGCCTGGGGCTTGAACCATCGACTCACATATCGGCCGATTGACTGAGTGAACAAAGCACCCACGTCGAACCGCCCGGCTACCGAACGAGCAACATTTTTCATGGCACTGAGTTAGGAGAAGAAGAAGTATTAACAGTCTATGGAACATAGAAAGCATTTTGATTGAATGTCGTGTGGTGGCGAATCACTTCAGATATTCTTTGGAATGTGGGAAAACATTCATTATTGTATGGCCTTTGGTGGTCATCAGTTCGTACATTAATAAGTAAACAGTCAAAGAAACTCGAATTTAAAAATGTAATTTTTTACAAAACTGCGGAATTTTGAAATTCGAAGAGGATTTCAAGGGCTTTTAAATGACATCTCACTTAACACCCACTGCCATTGAAACTTTTTGGGATATTCTCAAAGGCCCATTTCCATTACAAATGTTTAGTGTACAAGTAGGAATAAAAAGTGACTTATATATAAAACTGTTCAGATGAGATTTTTCTATGAGTTTATATCTGAAAGCAATAAACATTCCAAAAGAGTTTAAACTGAAATTTTTCACCTTTCTTTGAAAGTTTTCAATTCTTCGTAAATTAATGGAAAATTATAAATTTAAAAATGTTTATTCACAAAAATTAATTTCATTTGGCGCAATACGGCGCAATCAGAGCAAGAGCAAGTGTTTCAAAGACCAGTTATCCAAGAATACTGTACGCTTCGAAATATGTTTATAAAAAAGATTATGATAAGTTCATGAAATAGATTGGAGAGTACAGACGAATGAGTTGTGTTTACTTTCCTACAGAACAAAGCGTCAAAGGGGTGAATAAACAGTTGGGTGGTTTTCACTTACGTATTATATGAAGGTAATGCGGTACCGTATGTGTGAATATTAGCAGTATTAATTTAGAACATTTTCTCTGATTAGAATTATTATTTGAATTGTACTGTTCATATACGTTTAAGAATATAAGATTTTTGAATATCTGAATAAAGTTTTCGAAATATTTGTCAGTACATCATTAATTCAAAAGTTGACATCTGGTGTTCACGTTTATCAGGTTGATGATGTTGAAATGATAAATTTAAAACATGGGCGTACTTGATAGTTCAATTAAACATGCGGAAGCCTACTTTAAATAAACAAAATAAGGTACTTATTAAAGCTTTTTCATTCTGTATAGAAACTTTTTTCTTGTTTTCATCCAGAGAACCTTATATTATTTTGCAATATCAGCAAAGAAGCTGTATAACTTTTAGATAATAATATGCACGTTCAATAAAAGTAATACAAATGTATTATATAACTGTATTTATTTTGAAAATTTTTCGATTTCCGCATAACAGATCCGAGAATTGTATATGCCTTCATAGTAATACATTGTAGGTGTTCATTGAACTTTAAATTTGTTAATCAAAAACTAAATTAAAATCTATCAATATTTGAAGACAATTTTACTCACTCCTTTGAGTTTTTTAGCGTCTATAACAGCATATGCATGAGTTGGTACCAAGCCGCTTCTTTCAACATCATATTCAACTAGTTCTCCTGTTGCCACAGTTGCTAGTACTTCACCTTGTTCTAAACGAGCTTCTAAAGTATCAAAAAAGGTATACTTATTGAATTCTGGATTTTTGCTTTTTATGGCAAATCTTTCGGGTATCCATCCAGTTAACGCATGTAAATCAATATTCTGCAAAAAAATTAATTTTCATCAATTTTATTTTTGACTATCATTTTTTAAATTTTCACTCTGCTTGATATATCGTTTCAATGTTTTATTTGATTGCTATCAAGGTAGATATATGAAAGCAAAAGCAAGTCACAGTAAATTTTAATAATCTCTGTAAGCTTCATAAAAGGGAGGGTGTTTCAGAGTAGGATACTGGTTTTTGAGGGTGTGAACCCTAAGGTGATTAAAAAAAGTTCAAATGAACTTATGTTCTAAACCTCTCAACTTTTGAGCTATAGGGTGTTGAAGTATAACATGTTTGTGGAGCACACGCCCTCTAAGAATCAACAGCCATTTTTTGATCTAAAAGATTTAAGTTTTTAACCGTCTGTACAGGAATATAGACAAGATTTTTGGAAAAATATTATGTACGCCTTAAAATAAAAACTGAAAAAATAATGAATATATGTTTATCAGGTGATTCAATTTTTTACTGATAAATTACAAAAAAATGTAGTCTACATTCCTCTGAGGCCGTCACTGGATAAAACCTTCAAAAATCTGGATAGAAAAATTGCTGTTGATGCTTTAAGGGTTTGTGCTACATTTCATAAACAATCATGTATTCATTTGTTTATTGAGAAAAAAACTGGTGGAAATAACCAATTTCACAAACTACACCTAAACAATTTGATCTCCTCAAACTTTATTGAAAAATATATCACAACATGTTTCGCTAAACATTAGCTTTTTCAAGTGATTAATACATCAAATTATCCTTACATTCATAATTTTATATATTACAGGTAACCATAACTGAGACTACCTGTAAGAAATTACCTGAACCTCTACATCTCGTACCTGCTCAATTGTGATTACCTAAAGCATATTGCCTCACATCTACATCAATTCTTTCTCGGTTTTTAAGAAAACAAGTTCAATAATGGTGATCTATTCAAATCTAGTTGGTCATTCATTAGAATGTTTGAATTTTTAAGTTTATTGATTTCCATTGCTTCCAAATGATTCAGTTTCAAACCTTTATTTTCAATGTGCAAAATTTCGAACTCTTCATTAAAGATGTGATTTTCTTCTAGAAGATTATTTGAATATGTTGAATTTGTTTTCTTATTTACATAGCTCTTATGATGTTCCTGGATTCGATTCCTAAATGTCCTGCCAGTTTGACCAATATACACCTGATTTACACCATGGTAAGGCCGCCAACGAAATGATTGAATGTCGGCTCCAAAAACTAACCCAAGTTTTTGTATCATTCAACCACACTGTGATACACCGCTAAACTTTTCTTCTAAATTGATGAATTACTGGTTGCCTGACTAATCAACGAACAAGGAAATTTCATGATTTGTTACATGTTTAATTAATATTTTTTGTATAGAATGCCTCACAACTGATGCATATTCCAGCCTACTTCGAACAAGAGGAAAAAATTAATATTTTATGACACCTGTATTAATGAACTGGGATGTTGAAAGTTTGCTAAGTAGTTTACTAGATTCCTTGGATATATTGTGAACATGTTGATCACATTTGGAATTACTCAGGAAAAAAAACATTTATTATAGTTTTGTTATTTAGTCTTTGAAAAATTATCAATAAATGAAAATGTTAATTATTCATGATGAATTTGATATTTTTTCACGACGTCAAACCATCAGGAAATCGTCTGAAGTAAGACTCCATTTGTGGAAACATTATCATTAATTCAACGTTACATAATAAATAATTTTTTGGGAAAAAAAGTATTGTTTTTCTACTTCTCCATCTTGAAACAAAAAATGTGGGAATCTTCCAAGGAAAGGAAGGAAGCAATCAATTTCAAAGAAGTAATACTATACAAAGATATGTAGATCATGCAAAGAAGTATCTTTCCGAAACAATATGTAAAAAAATTCTCGAAACAGCTACTTTCATATAAACCTTGAATTATATGAAAGAAAAATACTTTTATATGAACCCTGAATTATACAAAAAACGTTTTTCTCTATTTAGATTGCATTCCACACATTCATTATGGAATTGAATCAGATATCATTCACAGGATTCCTACACAATATTTAAGTGAAAGAGATAAAATTTCACTCACATGGAACACTGTCATCCTCACTGGTAGACATCCGCTTGCCTTGTTGGCTCTTCAGTACAAAATATAGATAATATTTAAAGAAAAAACACACAATTCATTCATGAAATTACGACTTTCGTTTAGTTATCAAATTCCAGCTAAAGGAATCTTTTTTAAACTGAAAGGGGTATATTTCTAGGAGAGGTTATTAATTTTTTGGGAAAGAAAGGTTTTGGCAAAGAAAGAAAGCAATTAGTTTTAAAACATGTAAATCATGCATAGAAGTAATTTTCTAACAAACTGGAAGAAAAGCCTTCTCGAAACAGCTACTTTCATATAAACATTGAATTACACGAAAGAAAAATACTTTTGAAACAAATACTTTTATATGAATGCTGAATTATAAAAAAAAAACTTCTTTTGCTAAATTAGTTCGTACTCCACGCATTCATTATGGAATCGAATCAGATATCATTCACAGAGTTCCTACACAATATATTAAATGAAAGAGGTAAAATGGAAGAAATGAACAGGTCAGGCGACTTCCATGAAAAGAATGAAAACCCGTATTCCTTCCCTTAGAAACATCCCCTAAAATTTGAATGCATTCCCAATTAAATAAAAAAAATCGTGCTATTGTATGGCTGCCGAGGAATTTAATCCTTACTCGCAGGTACTCAAGAACTTGGAAGAATCGAATGCCTTCATTTTTTTGGGAAAGAAAGGTTTCGACTTTCTACTTCTCCATCTTCATATAAAAAAATGTGGGAACCTTCTAAGGAAAGGAAAGAAGCAATCAAAAAATCAACTCTGTATTATTTGATTCAGCATATCACTACATGTTATTTATATTTTAATTCCCAATCTACATTCCTAATGCACAACTTTTTCTTTTTGATCTAAAAAATAAATGCTATTAGTTATCAACTAATAGCATTTATAAGACTTTATCAAGAAGATATGAACATTTTCGAAGATACATCTTTCTTTTTTTCTGATTGATTCGGCAGTTACTTAATGAAGATCCATAGTAATTTCAAAAACTACACCTCATAATTTGATCTTCACGAAAACATGTGATAGATTTTTCAAATAAAGTTTGTGGAGATCAAATCGTGAGGTGTAGTTTTTCAAATTACATCATATTTGATTGATTATAGAACACTCACACTATTACTTCCTGGAAAATCATATCCGCCCATGACTTTCATGTATGCCTTTTCTAACAAAGAAATCCAGAATTCATTCTTGTTACTGGAATACGAACACAACAATCTTCCTTTTTCGTCAACTGGCAAAGTGTCATCTATTATAATCTTTCTTGGTATACCATTGATATGCAGCTTTATCATATATTTGCCGAAAGGATTGTATAAGGGCCTTTGATCTTTTGATTGTGGATAAATGATAGAAGTTACCAACTTTTTACCGAAACGTTTCTCATAAGAAGCACTAACAGCTAAACTCGCCACAAAAGAACAATCCGATATCACAGTTTGTTTTATAGTTAAATAATTTGGGGCAGGACCATGCACTATGCAAGGGTCTCTGCTTATATCTTCGGGACGTATGAACTGCTTGAAGTCTTTAGTATAATTATCTCCACCCGAAACTTTCAAGTGAGCACTTGTTCCTCTGTGTAGATCTGGTTTCTTTACTGATTCTGAATATGTTGAAGGCTGTTGTTGAACGGTAGAAGTTGTCGGAGTAGGAGAATTAGTTGAAGATGTTGAAGGCTGAGCTCTCAGGATTCCTGAAAAAATTATAGGTTTCAGATTGTGACGGTAATGGATCATAATTCTACCACGCATAAGATCTTATGTATACAATCATGAACTAGATAAATCCGAGAATGCTAAGAATTCTGGTGATATTAATAAGTTTTGTTGGTGTTTGTTTTTTGATGTCTTTCAATGAACTCAAGTCTGTTGCATATAATACTCAATAAGGGATAGATAGATAAGTATTTATTCATCACTAAAGTTTCACGAGATGTATGTAAACCTACATTTATAAAACTTATCGAACTAGTCAGATATACAAACAAAAAATATAAAAAAAATATAAACATAACCCAATATCCAGAGACTGTACATAATTTATAAAAAAATAAGCAATTAAAAAAATAATATTAAGCCAAAGTTCATCCATTGAATTTAAATCTCTTTATTTCACCTATTAATATAACTGTGCGATTAAAGCAATTATAACCTGATAAATATATGAATTCATTCCCAGTCCTAAGAAAATGTCAAATGATTACGACGTATCCATCACACTTTAAGTCAAGGCTTGCTGCTGACCACCAAACAGTACTGCCTTGATAGGATACGAATGCTAGTGGCTGCTAAGAAGTCACTAGTGAGGCGAGAAAGAAATATCGCGGAAAACCTTAGGTTACGCGAGAAACCTTCTCGCTTATTCCAAGAGCCTACACGTGTTGTGGATAATCAGCCGACCGCTTTCAACAGAGAGCTTTGACAGCCTGAGCTCAATGAACTGCGCAACCCGATAACCCCGGATGACGTTCGAAGAGCCATTGTGGGTTTCAAGAACTTTGCTGCTCCAGGCCCAGATGGGCTGAACACTTATTGTTGGAAAAAACTACCAAGCATCCACCGCCATCTGGCCAGAGTATTCAACTCAAGGCTGGACGGAGATCAGCCGATTCCGGATTGGTTTGTCGAGGAGCGGACCGTTCTTATCCCCAAAAGCGGAGATTTGTCGATTCCTAAGAATTACAGACCTATAACATGCTTGAATTCGAGTTATAAGTTGTTTACAAGCATTTTATACACACGAATACTCACCGCAGTTGTCCGAGTGTTCGAACGGATATATGAGCAGAGAGGGTCGAAGAGAGGAGTCGCTGGATGTAAAGAGAACCTGCTCATCGATAGATGTGAATCGAGTACCGTAAGGCATTTGATACAATATCGCATGAGCTCATCTTGCATTTGCTCAGATGCCTTGCGGTACCCGACAAAATAGTGAGATGCATTGAACAACTGATACCACTCCGGCGAACTCGCTTCACCATAATATCTGGTTCAAGACAGAGTCGAAACAGGGTGGGTCACTTTCAGAAGGGGTGTATTTCAGGGTGATTCCCTCAGTCCCTCTTCTCTTCTGCATCTCACTATTGCCATTATCCGTTGCGCTCAGAAATACTCGAGGGTATAACTATGGCACCCCCGGAAACCGGAGGCACAAGATCACCCATTTGTTTTATTTGGATGATCTTAAACTTTATGCCTCTGGAGAGAAGGATCTCCATCAGTCCTTGAGGGTGGTGGAAGAGTATACGCATGCTATCGGTATGAAATTCAGGATAGACAAATTTGCAATGGTCCATCTCAAAAGAGGACGATGCGGGGACTACGGAGAGGATGTGCAGCTCGTAGATAGAAGCATCATCCTACACCATCTGGATGCCGGAGAGACCTATACTTACCTCGGAGTGGAACAACGCCACTCACAAGAGGTAACAGCAGTGAAGAACTCTCTCCACGGCAAGTATCAGCACAAACTTCGACAGATCTGGTCATCGGAACTGTCGGGGAAGAACAAAGTTGCTGCAACAAATATGCTTGCCGTTCCAATCTTACTCTACTCGTTTAGAGTAGTGAAGTGGACTCGGGAGGAGCTGTATCAACTCGACGTAAAGACCCGAAAAAGGATGCATCTCTATAGAAGTTTGCATCCCAAATCGTCCGTTCCAAGGTTGTACTTTCCCCGATAACAGGGAGGCCGTGTACTTTTGAGTTTGGAGTGTCTACATGACAGAATGGGACTGGATATAGCCTGTAAAGTCGTCAGGAGTTCAGATCCCCTTCTCTGCATGGTCCGTGACCATGAGAGAGCAGGAATTGGGAGTATTTCTCTTTAGGGCAGCTGTCTGAGCAGCTAATGAACTCGGTTTAGTTATCGACACTCAACGAGGTGACCACAACTCTGTCACCGAGTTGGCATCCGTTCAACAAAAAGCTCATATAAAAGCCGCAGAGATCACCTCACTTCTGAAGAAACACAAGGATAATCCAATGCATGGGGTCTTCTTCAATAACATTGAAGAACTTGGCATATCAAAGCGCCTGACTTTCGCTTTCCTCAGGTCGAGTGGACTGATGTCGGAAACTGAGGGGTCATCATGGCTTGCCAGGATGGTGTCGAGAGGTGTAACACCTCTCGAAGCGAAGCAGTAACTCGTCTTGATAATGCCACCTGAGATGATGGCGAAACGTCGACTATCGAATAGTACACAACGGATGAATTCATTATATAATAAAGGACCTAGTGAGTTAGGAGAGTCTTTGAATATTTGAATCCTAGAAAAGAATATGTTCAACTGGTTTTTTTAATTCTTGTGTCATGTTTATGAATGCTAGATCTAGTTGAAAAACTGCTATAGTTACTAAATACATTTACGCCAGGTCGTGCATAAAGTTACATTTGGTACTCAAGGTAAGTATAATTTCTGAAGTATTCAAGCAATAATACAAATAATAATGACAGAGCAATTTAGGTTTATAAATCATTACATGAAAACAAAGAAATGGTACAATTTTCCAAAGAATTTAACATAATTCCTGCCTCACGATTAGCCAATATGATGTTAATATCATAAAAAATGGGTTTTTACCCTATTTTGAGAATTTGCTTGACAGGTAATATAAGTTGTTTCAGAACAATTTCACTTTGTAATAAATTGGGTTTAACATTTTAATTGAAATTAGTGGATAGTCCTGTCTGATTGTTCGAATTACAGTTTGAACTTACTCTGCCACTGACGTATAGTTTTATATGGCGAAGTCTCCAAAAATAAAGTTTGTTCACAACACACCCAAACTGATAAACGAAGACATGACGATAACAACCTTTGAATCACTACCCGCACATATGTACACCAATTGGGTTGAATTTCTATAGAAATAGTTGGGACAACTATGTCCAGTCCTAGTTTCTAGAGTTTTGTAAACGATATATAGGCTACCTGAAAAAACTGGCCAAGTGTCTTCCATTTTCATGCAGTATTGATTAAATGTTCTGTAATATATTTTTTATTTTGGATGAACTTCAAAGTTCCCTTACATTTTTATCAGTATATGTATACCCAAAGCGTAATCAATTGTATTCAATGAAAACCAGGAAACAAAATATTGCTTCATCCACCCCATACTTAATTTTCAATTGGATATGGATCTGGTAATATATTGGAAGGTGAGTTAAGCTCACTGTACCTAGATATCAATTATTTTTCAGTATCAGTTATCCTTAAAAAGTAATTCCTTTACTCGCTGAGTCAAGTTGGTACACAATAATTGTTTATTGAAACCCTTCGTTTGATCTTGTAACAAGAATACGAGTGATACAAAACAATATAGTAATTCACCTATATAATCACTTTCACCTAGTGAGTCTGATAATTGGCCATGACTGAATTTATAAAAATTATTTCTAAAACATATCAATTCCTCAGTTTGAAGTAGTGCTACAACACGATTAGTTGAGTTATACTCTCAAACATTCAATTATTATTTTTATTAGTCCTGCTTCATATTAAAACAAACAATGAAAAAAATCGAAAAACTTTGTTTCTGTGTGTACCTACTCAAATAGTAATTGAAAAATTTTTTCAGAATTCACTTCTTTCCATACCAAGCAGCAACTCAATTTTCGTTAGAGGCCCATGCTCAATTTTTTCGATAATTTGGCCCTCGAAATTTTTCTGCAATAAATTAGTATCTGAGAATTGTTGGAATGATTGTCTTTTCAAATAAAGATGAAATGTGATCATAATGAAATGTTTGATATTTCATAATAGTTATAAGTGAGTTTAATCTGAGTTGAAGACCACACACACAAAAATATTCTTATTCTGCATGTTCCAGCATTACTCCTGGAATTTCACTGAAAGCTGTGGCAATTCTTGCTTTCATATTTTCTATAGATGTGGGAGTATTTTGGTAGACAATCCATTTGACATAACCCCATGGAAAATCCATTTCAGTTATTTCAGGTGATCCTGGTGGCCACGTCAGTGACCCACCGTTCATATTCATTTTTTATTAATATGATCATTGAGATATTCTATTACCTCGTTTTTGAAATATAATGGTGCACCTTCTTGTTATAGTTGAACCTACACCTACAAGTTGAACTTCATCCAATAAATTTGAAAGCTCATGCCGAATAAATTTGATGTTTTTTTTCTGATTGATTCGGCCGTTACTTGATGAAGATCCATAGTAATTTCAAAAACTACACCTGACGATTTGATCTCCACAAACTTTATTTGAAAAAATATATCACGTTTCGCTAAAACATTAGCTTTTTCTAGTAATAAATAAATCACTTGAAAAAGCTAGTGTTTTAGCGAAACATGTTGTGATATATTTTTTCAATAATAAACAATAAAGTTTGTGGAGATCAAATCGTCAGGTGTAGTTTTTGAAAATAAATCTGATGTATTTTCTTCCAGTGACATGCCCATAAAAAATATGGACCGATAACTCATTTCCTGATGACAAAATGGTTTAGACTTTCACGGCTGAGGTTTTCAGTGTCAATATTTTTCAAGTTTGAAAGCCGTGGATTATTGGAATTTCTTCCTAACGTTTCGCTGGCGCGAGTGGCTAGCTTCTTCAGAGGTTTAACCATCATGGCTTGCTGTCAGATAACTAACTTTTAGGCTTCGTAAAGCGTATTTATGCCTTGTCAGGTAATCAGTTTTATTTGTATCTGTACCTGCAGTTGAACCTGGAACATTACCATTCTTGCTGCCTGTTGTCATTCTGTTCGTTATTCTCGAATTCCTTAAAATGGGGTTCCATATTCGATTGAGGTTCACCGCTTCTTCTTTTCTGTTGAAATTCTCCGTGTGTTTGTGGATCTCTATTGCCTCCCGTACCAGTCGGTTATAGTATCCCTGGTTGGGGGCAATTAGTTCTGTGTTTTCAAACAAGATTATGTGGTCTCCTTCATTAAGTGTGATTTGTCCGCTTGGCCTAGTCTGCAGTTCCTTTTATGCTCTTTTAGTCTTGTTCCCATGGATCGTTTCCTGATAATTGCCCCACACATTTAGTAACCAAAGCTGGTGATGATTCATACAATGAACAAAATGGGGATGTTCCGATGAGTAATGATGCCAATTATGCCAATTAAAAGTTCCGTTTTTTTTTGTAATGTTGCCTCATCAGAGAATTAGACATAAAAAAAACTGGTTTTCGGACTAGTTTTCTTATACACTCCCATGATAGGGGTATCAAAAACAGGGTTTACTGAAATGAAGATGAAAAAAAAATGGCGTACTAGTTTTTTTATGCATCACATGATATTGGTAGCAAATGAAAGGGTTTTCTAAAATCAATACGAAAATAACATGACGTCACTCCAATACTGCAGGCGATTTTTTATGTATTCCCGTGATATGGACATCAAATGACTGGGTTCAATGGGAAAAATCAAAATAGAAAACAATATGGTCGCCATATCAAAGGTTGGGTAATAAAAAAATATAATTGCTAGGACTTTTTGATAGAAGTGGCAACGCCGCAATGCTGAAAATATTTTAGATCGATAGAACAGGTAAGGAAATGTGAGAGGTGAAATTTTCAGAAAAATCATGCTTTGCGTTTTCCAGACACGTCTAACCTACCATCGACCGTGAGTCACGCTGTATATAGGCTGAAACAGCTGTCTACCGGTAGCTCTTAAAATGAAATCAATATGCATTCAAAAAAATTAAGTGTATGCCATCTTATTGAAAGAAATTACTGACGAAAAATCAGTTTCATTCATGTTCGACGATAAACATACAGAAACAATTGAGAATGACAAAATTCAGTGATGGGCTTTGGAACTATCAAGTTACCGATACGATATCATATACCGATCTGGAAAGAACAATGACTTAGCAGATACATTATCAAGAATCTCTGCCAGCGCTAGCAGAGATATGTCGGAGTTGTTCAATATCCATCAATCGCTTTATCACTCAAGTGTTATTCGAATGGCCCACTGGATACGTTTGAAGAATCTGTCATATTCTATGGAGGAAATAAAGATAATGACGTTCTGTTTGTGCTGTAGTCAAGCCCTGTTTCTAGAAAGCACAATGTCAATTCATTGAAGCAACTGTACTATTCAAACGTTTGGTTCTCGATTTCAAAGGACCATTACCAACATCAAAAAATCGATATCTGTTGACAGTAATAGACAAATATTCAAGATTTCCATTTGCTTTTCCGAATTCTGACTTATCCGCAGTTATATCCATTTTAATCAAGGTTCTTCATTTATGGCCTCAGAAATCAAAGGATTTTTTCAATTGAAAGGCATTGCCACAAGTCGAATTACAGCATATAATCCTCAAGGCAATGGCCAGTGTGAACGAGAGAATAGAATTATTTGGAAAACAATTGAGTTGGCTCTTCATTCCAGAGGATTGAAATATCCCAGTGGTAATCAGTTTTACAAGAAGCACTACATTCCACACGATCCCTCCTTTGCACATCTACAAATGCTAATAAACCACATGAACGGGTGTTTTTACATAATCAAAAATCTGCTAATGGAAAATCAATGCCTTCTTGGCTAACAACTCCTGGGACTGTCCTCATGAAAAGACATATACAAACTAACAAATATAAGCCCCTAGTAGAAGAGGACGAATTCCTTGAATCAAATCCAGATTATTCGCATGTTAAATTAGCTGACGCCAGACAAACAACTGTTTCGAACAAACATTTAGCACCACGAGGAGAAGGAGGCATCTATACTAATTCTACAAATCAAAGTTGTCATTGTCTGTGATACCGTCATGTTGTATTTTGTTGATTAAAGCCAATTTCTAGTTTAATATATTCATAACATGGGGACGTTGAATCAAATAATTACCGAATATAAACTTTCAACATGAAAAAATCTATACACATTTAAAAATATCTATTGAAAAAAACCCACAGTACCATCACATGTTGATAAATAAAATACTTTAATGGATGACATGTTTTTAACTAAACACCTAATTTTCTTCAAAGTTATTATACCAAATCTACAGTTAGTTCAAATAATAATTACATCTACCTAATCAAAATACTACACACAATGTTTTTAAATAGATATTACCTTTGAGTTCCTCGGCTCTATCCAAAGCCTGCAGAGTTACTTTCTTGAGTACAGTATTCCTTAGTTCTGGAAACTGAGAAATATATCCCACAGCTTTGGCATATAACTGTATTGCATCAGCTTTATCACCTTTCTCATCTTCCTCGATAGCTTGCTGTAATAAAAAATGGCACTGTTTTAGCTTACTTCTAGTTTCATCTTTTTGAATAGGATTGACTTTCGACATATTGTTCCTCAATGCAACGCATCTGGTTTTATACTCATAAGCTCTCCTTTTCAATTCATCAGAATCGCTTATTCCCTGAGCAGCAAGTTCTAATAGATATGCAGTTGCCTCATAATAATGAGCAGAAATATTTATATCTCCATGAAAATCAAAGTGAACGGCTTTTTTGGATGCTTCAATACCATTACGCACTAAGTGATCCAGGCTAATTGCTTCGCTCATAATAGGTAATCGCTATATTTAACTTCATAAGCTTGACAGAAATTGAACAGAAATAAAAGCGATAGGAATTTTTTTTGAGAAAAATGTTTTCTTTGTTTATAATAGTTTTTTATTCATCGTGAACATTGTTCCTCAGTAAAAAATCGTGGAAGTACATATTTCTTCTACTTCCAGTAATTCCTGTCCCCCGAATGACGGGCATGTAGTATGTATGGGCACAGTATTTTGTATACAGAAATACTGTGGTATGGGTATATTTTTATTTCATGGGTTGAACTTCAGTGTTCTGTGGCTGAACAACGTCATGGTCACAGAATAATGAACAACAAACTTATGCGACCTCTGTCAAAAAGTCAAAAGTATCGTGACTATTACGAAAATTTTCATATCTATTTTGTTAACTGTTACTACAACAACTTTTGAAAAGCACCTTTTATTCAATCGATGTTAAAAACAATTGTATTGTATATTTTAAAGTTAATTTCTGAAATAAGTTTCGATTGAATTATATTATCTCTATGTATTTGTATACACACATTTCTTCATATTGTATACTAACAGGATGTTTTAAATGTCAATGAATGTGTGTACATTAGAGTGACCTTAATAAATAATACACTAACTATTCATCAACTGTATTTACTCTAAACGACAATATTGTTCATTGATAGCAGATAACCGATGTTGAAATATAATGATTATGACACGATTACAATAACTACGAAGAGTCAAAAACAAGTTCACCAAAGAGCTTTAGTTTATGGGCCATTAGTAACCACTCAACCTATTATGAGGAAGACCATTTTAGCAAGGTGGCTGTACATTCTTCAAGGTGTATACTATTAGGTGTGTAAGTGTCGTGTTATGTTGATGGATATATGCTGACATTGTATATGCTGGACTTGCTGAAATCAAGTGCATTAGCCTGACCAGATATTATGGTGAAGCGAGTCTGTCAGAGCGATATATGTAGAGGATTCAACATGAAAGTGTTCTCGGACCCCATGACATAAACTTTACGGTTGAAGTTTTGAACTGCGAAGAGTGGAGAATGAACAGTCACCCTAAGAACATGCTCGGCAGAAACACCAGATATAAAGACGGGTAGAAAACTGAATATGGAACGGAAGCTTGAATTTACTGTGTCGAGAGAAATCTTCATTTCAGTTAGTTACCCATTCGGTCAGTACACGTCAGTCTTCTTGGCTGAAGTGTATGCAATGTTGCAATTCGCATGGAACATTAATTTGAGGCCTCAACGAAATGAGCGGATCAATATTTTCACAGACAGCTGGGACACATTTGGGACAGTGACGAACCCAAAAGTTACATCAAGTCTTGTACGGGAATGTCGTGAAAAACTGAGGAAACTGGTGAACAGTTGCCTGCAGGCATCGCAGGCAACGAAAGAGCTGATGAGTATGCCAGACACGAATTATCAAGACATCCTGAATCAGCTATGAGGTATCCAATTATTTGGTACTGAACCAGATTATTAAATGTGTCCACAAGAAACATGTAAAGTACTGGAAAAAGTCACGAGTGAATACTTTCGGAAAAACCTTCATAAAGGGAAGGTCCGAGAAAAGAGGCGAAGACCTGCTTGAACAAAGTAAGGATCGCCTTAGAACAATCGCAGGGTTATTCACTGGACAGTGTACATTGAGAGGACGCTTGCAAAAATAGGTCTGTACAACGGATATGGGAGAAAAATGCAATAAGCTCATGATGCTGTAGTATTTTTCGAAGACTAGGGAGAAATGGATAAGTCAGCTAGGTAGCTCCAAAGTAGAAGAGAGATAAACAGTTGATATATTCATTGGTATTTTAACGTCGAGACGCCTACGGATGCCAAGCGTTCTTTGATTCATTACCTTGATTTTGAGTTTTTTTAAGACCTCCTCATTAATTTGAAGAAATTTTTCGCGTCTCAACGCTTACCGATGGCATGCGTATGCTTGATTTTTGATTTATTTCTATTCCCTGATTGCTTCTTCGCCATTTAGTTTTCTTTTGGACATTTTTTGATAACAATCTTGTCTGGGAGGTTATTTTAGCATTCCGATAACTATTGTCTATCTCATTACAATTATTTTACTATGACAACCAAAAATCAAAATTCACCAAAATCGACTTTCAAAGAAAGAACTGTTATGGGATATGTGATGAAATTGGCGCTACTTGATGAAAATCCGTAACGTATTCAAGTAACACTTTCAGTGCGTTCCACTAAGCGTTCACAACGCCTAAAATACTCATTCAGGCGTTCCACATGGCGACCGCGATCGTTGTGGTCGCTGCGAAAACGTCATTAATGACGTCATTACCTACGCTCACGCCTAGCTCACGACGACCCATCTCTTTATGTTCAATGAACATCTCACAACAAAGTATTAATAGTCCTTTTTATCACAATTTTTTTTGTGAGCATGCGTCAGTATCAGCATCAGCCATCTTTTTCGTACTGTAAACAACTATGTTAAAGAGCCCGCAACTCACGTTTTAAAAATTATAATATAAATTGAAGTTTATTAATTGTAAAAAAAGTGGAAAAAAATGTAGTAGGTCAAAATAATCAGAAAAAAACTTTTATAATCCATTTTATTTATGTTATCTGTACGAAAAGGAAAACAAAACGGCGTTGTTATGGAGTATGTAAAAGTGATACATGATTCAAATCATTCAAAACCAACACATACTATTTTATAAATTTTCCAAAGCCTTATTGTCTTGAATATCGCAAAAAATCATCAAGCAAATTACATATTAAAGCATGTGCGAAATGTGAATTATGGGTGAAAAAATGTGGCAGGAGTGACCGAGGCTTTAAATCTATTGATGCTGTTACCAAGAATAATTATATTTGCTCACTACATTTCATTGGAGAAAGTGGTCCAACTGAACAAAACCCTGATCCTTTAAACTATCAGGAAATTCAACATACGTACATTATTCCTTATTGCATTTTTGACTGTAAATTTCATATATATTATGTTGTATTAAATATTTCCCTCTGATAAAAATTACTAAACATATTCAATCCAGTATTTATATATTTGTCTAATTAATAATGTCATATGTACAGCCTCAAAATATTATTGGCTTGATTTATTTATTAGTTTCATAAGTAATATTCTTGTCAGCTGAAATATATTTTCAATTACATCAAATAAATTGACATAATTAATAAGAGTAAAACTGTAAATACTATTTTTTGTGTTTTCAGATAGTAAACAAATGCTGATACCTAACCTCTCAATCAGCTCACTTTTTTTCCTTTTTCGGACGCCCATGACGTTTTAACCACCTTTTTAATTGTTCACAATTATGAGCTTCAACTGAATTATAAACAAGTGAAGCACCATCAATGGTTTTTTCCAATAATTTATTTGTTTGTAGAGATAATATTCCTTGCCCAGCCATTGTTGATTAAAACAGTACGAATGTTTTGAATTACCGCCATTTCAATATGACAGCTACGCTTGCGCTCATCTTACGATAAAAAGGCCTATTGGAAAGTTCATCGTTCAGCAGATCTGACGATCTGACATCTACCAGACATATAATTAATATTGTTATGGTTTCATGTGCTTCGAGTGAGTGAAAATAATTTATTTTACCTACTCAACAGTTTCTCATATCTATAATAAAAGCACTAAAAATCAATACTCTCCAAAATTCACATTCAACTGACTCAAAACAATAACTAAACAACTAAAAAAACGACGGACATATCAACATTTTGGTGCTGATATTCTGTGGTTTTGGCATTACTTCAATCATTCTATGTTTTACGTGTTGCATACTTTCATTATAAAAACGTTGAGATTTTGATTTATTTATACTACTGTTAGTTTTCTTCAATTTCCTAATCTTTTTGATTGTGTCGATTTTTTTTAATTATTACTTTGTACGGATTGTTTGGGTAACGGAGTTTTGAATAAACGTTCTTTTCAAGTAGTTTAGACTATTTTGATTAACTCTTCAATATTTTCTTTCCTGATTTCTTTAGGTAATGACGATTTCATGTGCTGCTTTCAACTGTACAGTTAGGTACAAAGAAAAGAAAAGTGGTGTATCATTTCATAGGTGAGATGAACTTCCAAGATTTCATATAAGGAGAACCACTAATCAATTAATTTGTTATATTTTCAGATTCCCAAAAGACAAAACTATTAGAAGAAAGTGGGTAGCTGCTTTAAGAAGAAAAAATTACATACCATCAAATTATGCTACCGTTTGTAGCAATCACTTTAGAGATGAAGACTATTATTTAAGTGGTAAAGGAACCAAACTTTTGAAAAAAGGAGTAGTTCCATCAGTTTTCAATTTTCACGAGGATTCCGAACATCTGAAATGTGGCCCAAAAAAAATATTAGCAAGCAATTTTATTTTCAAAGGTGAGTTCATCATTAAATTTACAATAATTTCTAATAAGACTGGTAGAATAGTTTTACTCTCATGTTTTGTCATTAATAATTGGATAGAATTGGCCAATACTTGATAAAAATCCATATTAAAAAACTAATCAATATAGTTTATTGCATTATTTTCAAGCATAAACTGCTTGAGGAAGCTATTGTATAGCGAAACACTGTGTCACGGTTTTTTCTAAAATCCTTTATAGTGAAAATTATACAATAAACTGTATTGATTAGTTTTTTTATGTCATTACCATAACAGCTTCAATGAATCTCCTTGAAGAGTAGATTGAAACTATTTCTATCATTTCATGATTATATTACATATAAAAAAAAAAACAAATTCTTCTAAGGATAGAGCTTTCAAAATAAAAATAGTTTGAGTCATTGTTATAGAAAATACTCCCTGTTCTTCTCAAGCAGTATATATTAATAAGGAACTACAAGGAGTCAATGTTTCCAATATACCAACAGAAGTTCCAAAAGAATCCACTGTATTTGAAAGGGATTGTACTCCAAACAAATTCATTATCAGGAAGAGGTATGACCAATTCATGATTATGTGGTTGATATTCATACTATAAAAAGGTTTAGTAGGTATGGTGAATTATATAATACTTTCCAGAATGATTGTAATTGAATAACTGTTTTTTATAACTGAAACTTTGTGAATTTTGTCATGTTTCAGAAGGCATCATCAATGAATTGAATAGTGTTGAGTCACTTAATGTACATCTTACCTCACTGTTGAAATTATCACTTCAGATAGACATACAGATTGATCGTTAGAAGGTAATCCTCAAACCATTCTGATAGATTTCGAACAGGTTTGAATCTTGGATGGAACAGAAAACTGATAGTTTACTAATGGTTGGAAACTCACGTTGGAACACAATCACATTACTGCGCAGAATCCTGACTGTCAGAAACTGTTTCTGACGCTGGTTGGAACGAACCTAATATTATATTTTTATTTGTGTTAGTTTATTTCATTTTTCATTTCTATATACATATTGAATGTAATAAAAAAAATTAGGAAAACATCTCAAATTATTATAATCCGTTCCGTTAATATGGTGAAAGGTTGTGAGGTTTGTGGTGTAATAAAATCTTCAAACTCCAAACAATCTTTCCATAGGTAGGTAAACAAACAATATTAATTTATTAAAGATTGGTTCTAAGAAAATAAGAACTGATAAAATGGCAAAAGTTGCAGCCTCCTATTTCTCACTATGTTATTTTTCTGTTTTGAAATTATGCACTAAATATCCCTTATAATTTTTAGGTTTCCATCAAATTTGAACATCGCCCAGTTATGGTGTGAATCCCTTCAACTGGAAGTGGACAATTTGAGAAAATGCCTAATCTGTTCAGATCATTTTTCACCTGACGATGTTTATAAATTAGGTTCTAAAAATTTTATCAGAAAAGGTGCTATCCCATGTTTGAGGGTTCAGGATCCAGTACCTTCTGCAAATGGAAAGGTGATGAAAAGGTAATTTTCATTTGGTATTGTTAATATGTGAAAGTGGATATGAAAACAGTGAAAACATATTGTGCTGTGGAAAACTTTTAATTTCACTAAAATAATTTTTTAGGTTATGTTCTAGTTGCCATTATTATTCTCTGGAGTTTCAGTTATTATTCAATTGAAGCTTTGATAGAACCACAGACCTGATATTATGGACTGACATACACTTGCTGATATTGATGTAATACGTGATCCACCCTTGCTGACGTTTTATTTGTTGTTGATGTGGTTTCAGAACCAAGTTATAGATTATTATAATCTGATTTTGTGGTAGTGCTAATAGTTTGATAGTGTTAATAGTGTGATAGTGCTAATGTTTTCGTTCAAGAGAATGATGCCATCTGGAACTGGATGTGATCTTACAATTAGTATTGTGTTAGTAACAAGTAACTTGGTGGGTTCATTGGAAAAAGTGATATATAAACATTTTCAATTCTGAGAAATAAGAATCCTTTTATATATGGTGAATATATCATTTCCATAGTTTCCCTTATCTAGCCATCATTGTAAAATAATAATTTCTCGAAGCTTCTGTTGTACCATGTGAGAGGCTATTTCCAGAAACTGGAAGGATCTTATCAAACTAAAGAAATTATTGAAGTAGTAACAGGGTCAAGAAAATACTATTTGACAATTAGGTATAATAAGGACTACTAGATATTTCTGTTACAAGTTATCTAAATGATAGCTCTAAGAGTTTTGGTGGTAGGTACACAGCCTCGCACCTGTGAAGAATTTTATTTAGACTTCAAAAACGCTGACCATCCTAGCTTAAATGATTATTTTGGTGGATAACATTATTCGAATTGCAGGATTTTGACCAAGCAATCAGTTTGCCTAACAGTTCTTCTCTCAGGTCACTGTCATTCGAATCATCATATGCAGAGACTCAGACTGTTGGAAGACACTGTGTGTCGCCACTGTTTGGAAAATGATGAAACAGCAGAGCACATAATTTGTGCCTGCTCCGCTGGGGACTGAACCAGGTTTTCTGAGTTTGGCAGAGCTGTACTCTTAACATCTGATCTGAAACACCATTCACCATACAAACTAATCGGCTTCGTCAAGAAGCTGTGTTCATTTGGTCGAGTGTGAAAGGTATGAGCCACAATAAATCCTTGCTGGTTGCCGTGGGGGGCCGAATAGACCCACTCACTTTTGACCTAACCTAACCTATACTCTCAGTGATTCCCAAACTTGAATTGTTACTAACACCCATACTTACTTGGCATTGATCAGCAACATGGTTTCACAGCTGGGAGATGTACAGTTACCAACCTCCTAGTGTATCAAACTGAAATAATCAAAAGTTTCGAATCAGGCCTACAAATTGATAATCTATTCTAATTTTAGTAAAGCGTTTTGATCATCTTAATCATAATCTATTGGTGCAGAAGTTGTTTTCTTAGATTTTCCCAATTTTATTACTCATTGCATAGGCGATTTGCTCAAGAACAGGTCACAGTCAAAATAAAAAAAAATTGAAAAGGAGCAAATCTTGGTATCTTCTGAAATGCCACAGGGCTCTCATTTGGGACCTCTGCTGTTTACCCTATTCATAAATGATGTTGCCAATATTCATTACTGTAAATTCTTGCTGTATTGCTGTAATTTGCCTATTGAATGTATTGAAGATGGTCGTAAGTTACAGGATGATATCAATTCTCTATATGTTTGGTCTGAAAACAATGGGATGTCGTTAAGTCAAGGGAAATACGTATGTATAATGTTTACTAGAATAAATAACAAAATCGATTTCAACTATGTTCTTGACAATGTCAATCTAAAACGGCTCAATGAAATAGGAGATTTGATTATAATCTTTGATGTGAACCTTTCATTCATCACCCACATCAACACCACCATCAATAAAGCTCTTAAACTTCTTGGTTTTGTCTTCCGAAATTGCAAGGATCTAACAGTGGATGCCACCAGAATTGTTTTCCTAGTCTATACGAGATCTATTTTGGAGTATGCGTCACCAGTCTGATCTCCTCATTATACTGTACATATAAATAGTATTGAAGCAGTGCAAATTAGATTCCTCGGAATTGTTTCCTTCAAATCTGGCCTCACAGATAGAGAATATGATTATTTGTATATACTTGATATTGTGAATCTTCACACCCTTTCTTTTCGTAAAACGAATAACGATATCATTACCTTATTCAAAATTAATTGTAATGATCTATTACATGAAGTCTCATTCCGAGTACATGATCATTCAACTAGGAACAATGATCTTTTTGCTGCCCCTAATCACTATACTAACTATGAATACTTCTCACCCATGTCATGGTTTATTTGAGAAGCCAACCGTTTTAACTGTGACATTAGGAATTTCAATACTTTTGGAAAACAGTGTGGCAACACTGTAGCAACAGTTTAGCAAATATACACATAATAAATGTATATTACACATGATAAATGTATATATTTTACATCGCCATTATGAAATAATAAAATTTTCCATGAAGAAGTGTTATTTTTTAATATTATTTTACTTGAATAGTTTTTACATCAGAACAATTACATATGTTCCTCTATATTTCAGAATTATTCATTTGAATGCATTTTATTTTGAAACACACATTTTTATTATTTTGATATAGTATTCAGTCGCATCTCAATCTGAACTCACTCATATTGACAAGCTCCGCCTAGTCACAGGTGGTACATCTCTGCTAGGCTGTTTTTCAAAAAGTATGGAAATGGCAGTCTATAATCAAATAATATCATACCTAACTAAACATAATTTATTAACCCCACGACAGGTTGGACTCTGACCTGGCTATTCTGTCGAAACAGCCTCAGCAGATCTTGTACAATATATACAAGATAGCATCAATGAAAATATGCTTCTGGTTGGACTATTCTTTGATCTGTCTCGTGCATTTGACACATTTACAAATAAAACTGAAAGTTCTAGGCATCCGAGGTCCAATTCATAAATGGATCAAGTCATATATGTCTGGTAAATCTATATATTATATTATTACTCTTTATTAGCAAATAATGCTCTTCATAGTACAGTCAGTCACTTATAAAATACAAAACAAAAAAAAATATAAAAAAAGAAACAAGTCCCATTTTGAAAACAAGAAACTAAAAAAAGAAGACGAATTATTGATGACTATTACTTGAAATATAGTCACTACATTTTCTTTTGAATGAATTTAATGAATCACAGCTTTTTATATGACTTGGCAAATTATTAAATGCAGTCAGACCAGAACTATAAAACGAGTCACAACCTATATGTTCTCTGTTGATATACAAATTTCCTATTCTATTTCTAGCGGAGTGTGTATGAATACTACTTGTGTAGGTTAACTAATCACTCAGATAATTTGGCAACATATTGTGTTCAATTTTAAACATAAATATTAGCATATTCAGTGTTATCCTTTGTTTAGCAGACATAAGAGACAGTGTTTCCAACATGTATTCCACAGATATGCGTTTATTACAACTTAATATTGCCCTCATGGATCTGTTTTGTAGCTTCTGTAGTCTGTTTAGATTTTCATTGCTCACAAAATAGAGTAATGTACTGCAATAGTCATAGTGGGGTGATATTATTGATTTATGAATTGTTAATTTTGCTGTTCACTTATTTTATTTTTCAGTCTATATAAAAGATGAATTTTTGTTGCTATTTTCTTCTGAATATAACTACAGTGCGCATTTAGGTTCAATTCTTGATCTAATACCACTCCCAGATATTTAAAAGTTGTTACCCTTTCAATGATGACATTATCAATATAAAGATTCAATGACAGCTTATTATCTTGCAGTTGTCTTAAACAATATTTGCTACCTATTAACATGCATTTTGTTTTATTAACATTTAACTTGAGGCCGTTGTCACATAACCATTCGTTTATATTTGATAGTTCCTCATTCAAACATTCTGAGATTTCATTAGTTGTCCCAGAACAGTACAACATAGTGTCGTGCAGGTTGAGAAGAAGTTCTCCAAAAATTTTGATATGAAGATTGGCACACCCCAAGGTGGGGTTCTTGGGCCACTGCTATTTCTGCTGTATGTCAACAACCTTCCTTAGTAAAGGACATACTCTCGTATATGCAGACGACACAACAATTGTTGTTACAGCTGAAACTATCAATCAGGTACAGGCTAAAATAGATACCTACTGTAATAAAAGAATAATTTACATACTGGTGTGAAGTAAATCACCTCATCAATAATGCAAAGAAAATGGTCTCCATTGTATTCACTAGTACCTTAAAGCACAGTAATAAATTATCAATAAATGTTGGTAACACAGAAGTTCACAACTCAGAATCAACGAGATTTCCAGCCCTCGAACTAGACCAAAAACTTTCTTTCAATAGACAAGTAGATTCTGTGTAAAAAACTCAACAAGCTGTACTTTGCATTTATTACTCTGAAATCGAGTTTTCATAGGCACCACTTAGTAAAACTATATTATTCTTAATATGCAGTATCATTAGTAGTAACATCATTGTGCGGGGAAGAGCTACAGACACATGCAGAATTTTCGTATCACAAAAAAAATTCATAAGGTCAATATATGATTTGGACTATAGAGAAACGTGCAGAAACACGTTCATTGAAAACAATATCCTAACACTAACATCTATCTATCTCTACAAATTATTAATATATACCCATCAGAATGCTAAAAATATGAACAGAAACTACCATGAATATGATACCAGACAGAAGAATGACTTCCATTTGCACCACTTGCAAAGAAAGCAACATATAAAGAGCCATTTATATGCTGGATCACATTTGTTCAATCTTTTACCTGAAGACTTGAAACTCATTACCAATATGAAACATTTCAAACTATCTTTGAAAACGTTTCTCATCCGCTATGCCTTTTATTCATTAGACGAGTATAAACAACTTAGCGACTAGGCAGTTATGTTTCAATGTATTTTAACATGTGTTTATTTTCAAATATTTTATTTTATTCTTATTATTCTTAATTAATTTGTAATGACTAGGATGTTTGTGATGTTTTTTTTTCCTAATGTTTATATCCAATGAGAATTTTTTCTCTATGTACTGTGACTTATCTCATGTTGTTAAGCAACCATAAGAAATTAAATAAATATCTATCTGAATCTATATATCTACCCTAGCTAACTAATCACTTTGAACGGGAGTAACAGAGTTGCTTGGTTATCTAATGATAAAGGTATGCGACGTGACAATTATTATGAAATACTGCTGAAAAATCGTGGTATAAAAGTACGGGCCCATCATTACCTGCGGATCATACAAACTGAAGCACAGCACTAAAGAATGTGCCTCAGTGGTCTATGATATGTTTATAATGAAATGAACCACGTTACATTTTTTTTAACTATTTCTTTGTTAAAAACTCTTATTTGCTGCATTTGTCATAATAGATTATGTTTGTAGATAATTTCGATAATAAATTTGTTGTTTTTCGAAACATTACTCTGTTTAGTCAGTGATACATATTGCGATAAAAATAGCATTCAAAAGTACATACATATACAAATAAGGAAGAGTGGTATTAGCTTTGGTTGCATAAAAATGAAAATAATAAGTTTCATATTTTCAGGTCTATGGATTCGAAGCCTTTAGACCAAACCAAATTAATTCATGATGTAGAAGAGAGTCAACAGCAGTTTGTCAAATCAAGTTCTGCAAACCCTAGACTCATTCATGTTTTACCAACACAAGATCCACGAAGTGCAAAACTATTGGAAGAATCTTCAGATGCACTGGTGTCCTCACAAGGTGCCCATCAGACTTTTGTCATTCCTTCAACTGCAGACAATCCTGTGACGACTCCTATCATCATTATTCCACAGGTTTCAGGAGCTATTTCCAGTGATACATTGGTGCTACCACAAAATTTTGGAAAAAATAATTTAATATTGACTCCGCTGAGTTCGGTTGCTTCAAATTCAAATCAACAAGCAAGTATTCAGCAATTTGGAATTGGTACCACCTCTCAACTTGTTAAATTAGCATCTGCTACCACTACACCAGTTCGGTATGTTGATACAAGCATGCTGGGTCAACTTGATAATTCATATACCGATAGTGTTAGTAATAATATTTCAGAGAAGACCAATAAAGGAATGGAAATGAGGTTACTTCAACAATTGCAGCTCTTATCCTAAAGATTATTGTATTTTTATTTTACTTTAGGTGTCGCACATGCTTGCATCCTGTCCCGAATCATCTAGAACAAGCTTCCATGTCAATGACCTGCTTTGAAGGGAAATCTGTTAAAGAAAGTTTAGTGCAGCTTTTACCTAAGATGGTAAGAAACTATTCTAATATGTCTGTGTCAGACAGCTTATTTAGACAATTAACTAAGAGAGATTGTTGATTTGCAATAAACAAAGCTTTCAGCAGTCTCTCATAAATTTTTAACTTTTTCAAAGGTGTTGAGATTTATTAGAAATGAAGATTTTTTATGAAGATGCAAAAGTTTACAGGAAAATCATCAAGATGCTCTGAGATCGTTGTTTGTACGAAATACAGTCCTGGGAAGTTTATTCTACAGGTACCTTGATTCTTAAATAGAAGAGTGTTTTGTTCGAGGTATATTGACTTGAACCTCAAAGCGATAATAAGCTAACTTTAAATAAATTTATAACAAAAACAAGCTTGTTATTAACATGCTCTAAAAAGAAAAAAATAAATTTTAAATTGAATGAAACTCAATTTTAAATTGAATGAAACTCATCAATTTATTCCATTACATAATGTATATAATATAAAAACGTGTCCCAAGATTTACCTATTTCTTAAAAAAATTATAATTTTTATCACATAAGACCATTGTACACTGTTTTTGGTAGTCCGCTATATTAAATTTAGAGTAATGTCATATTATTTTTCATATTCATTATGGACTCGCCAGAAGATGCAACGAAAATTACTAAACATTTAAAGAGTCCAAAAGATACGCAAAGATGCACAGATTAACAAAACATATCATGGAATCACTAGAAGGTAAATCTCACTGGGACATATCCCAAGCGATTGACTGCTTGCGGCACAAGGGATTGTTATTTAAATTGAAAAAGTGGCTGTCAGGTCACCTTTGCGGAATATTAAAATTATAGTTGTAAATCATACCCGAAAGAAAATAACTCCGGCCGCCATTGGTAACCATAAACCAAACGAGACGTAGCTGAGAGCGCGTGAATGTACGATGATTCCCCGCCACTCTAGAAGCAGCAAGAATAATGCTACCGAACTTCGGTGAAATTTCTACAGCATTCGATTACGATATTCAAAGGCTAGCCACGAGGTTATCGGCACAGTCAAGTGGACGTTACAGTGCGATACACGAAGTGATTTAGTAAGGCGATAGACATTCAAATAATAGTTGAAGTTTTAGTTGAAGTGTTTGTTGTATTTAAAGTGAAATAAAGTTAAGTTTGATTATTCAGTGTAGTCAATTATTGGTCAACCCACGGAAAAAACGTAACATTATTTCTCCAGCAGCGCCATGTTATAGTACAACAAGGGGAAGTCTGATCTCTGCCCTATAAAAGCAGAAGTTCCGAAGGGCAACGTACTAGGTCCCATACTCTACTTACTCTTCACTGCGGATCTGCCGATATCTGAATCTTTAATTACTGGAATATTTGCTGACGATACCGCTATACTAGCTACACAAAGCGACCCAAAAATAGTTTCACAAATACTCCAAAAAGGGCTAAATGACATATCCCACTGGCTCAAAAAGTGGCGGACTAAAGCAAAATCAGTCGATGTAACATTGACCTTAAGAAAAAACTCTTGTCCTCCAGTAACACTTAACAAAATTGCAATTCCACAGTCAGATTATGTGAGATACCTTGGATTGCACTCGGACAAAAGACTTACCTGGCAAAAACATATTTTCACTAAGAGAAACCAGCTTGGTATTCAAACGCGAAAATTTTACTGGCTCATTGTACGAAAGTTTGAAGTGTCTCTCGAAAATAATTTACTTCTGTACAAGGCATCAAGGCAATACCAAAACCCTTTTGGACATATGGAATCCAACTGTGGGGTTCTGCATCCCTTTCAGACATAGAAATCATACAAAGGTCTACCCATGCCCACTGTGAAACAGGAAATTATATTTCCCTTACCTGAACCTATAAAGAGCGCATTGAACGACACCTAAATACTCTGTCCCGGCCACTTATGGCAAACCCCAACAAAGCGCGACGTTTGAAGCATTAAATACCTCATGTTTTATTATAATCACAGTAAACACAGCTACTGTTTTAACAATGAGGATGTGACACATCCCACATACTACGGAATGTCCCACAAAGGAGACATATTGTAGTAAATAAAGAAAAAATAATGAATTATATTTTCAGAATTTCAAACTCACTTGCCAAATGTATGAAAAGTTTTCTAAATTTTGAAATGGACCTGCCCACCAGATGGGGAATATATAGGTTGTGAGAATTCTGAAGTGTCTTTCTATATTTGAAAAGTCCCCAACTTTCTATGTTCCAGAACAGGGTTGCTTCTGATGATCTTGACTTCAATCAGATGGATGGCTTCTTTCTTGTTATAGTTGAAATTTAGGAGCTTCATTGTATGTTTGAAGACAAGATTCCAATATTTTAAGTCTGATTTGATATGTGATGGAATTAACCGATACTTGATGAATATCCATATTCAAGTAACACTTTATTGTGATAAATTTATGGATGTAGCCGTAACTATGTGGTAGGAGAACATCATGAAAAGTGAGAAATAAAACTTCCTATAAGTTTCGTCCTATAAGGACATTTTCAAACGTATACAACAAACTCATTATTGTATATGTTTGAAAATGTCTTCATAGGACGAAACTGCAGTAACGTTAGTTACAAATACAAGTGGTAAAAAACATAGGTCGTTTTATTTCAATAAATTGATGGATGTAGCCGTTACTACGTGGTAGGAGATCATGAAAAATGAGAAATGGAAATTTCTGTTTTTTATCACTTCTATGTGTAACTAAGGTTATTGCAGTTTCGTCCTATAAGGATACATTAATGTATAAATTTGAAAATGTCCTTATAGGACGAAATTGCAGTAACTTAATCACAAATAAAAGTGGTATAAAAATAGAAATTTTCATTTCTCATGAAGTTTTATTTCTCATTTTTCTTTATTGTTATATTCTCACTGAACAGTGTTCATAGGATGAACATGTCTGATGAAGTTATTGTATAGTGAAACACTTTTTGTAGTTTTCTAAACTGTTCAGTGAAAATCTCACAATTAATTAGTCTACCAAAGAGGAGGTCACAACGCAATGCTGCCAATCACCTCTGCCCGTCGTAGTTATGGGCAAAACGTTTGGAGTTAATCTCTCCATTCGACCACTTCTACCCAGCCTGGATAACCATATCTAGAATTTCACTTTCAGCCATGAAAGTTTGAAACTTGAATTAAGGGTTACTTGAATATGATCTAATTTGAGCTCTATAAAACTTTTCAGTTCAAAATGGTATTCCAAGCTCTTGAGAAGCAAACCTTTGTTATTTCATCAAAGTAATTGTGCCAAAACAAACACCTTGACCCTCTGCCAAATCAGCTGATTTTCGGGTATCCAAATGGAAAGAAGAAACACATTTGTTGTCTTGGTGAATGTTACAAGTTCGGACTCCCATTGTCTATAAAGTTGTTAGCAGATTTGATTTCTATGGAAGAACAAATAAAATAAAAATGAATGAAATGTTAGAAATTATAGAAAATTCTGAGGATAATCGAACAATTATATTTAGTTGAGTTAGTTACAACGGAAATAATGTCAAAGAAAGGGAAAAAATGAATACCAATGAAAAGCACAAATGTAAGAATGCTAATTTGTACAGAAAAAAAAAGTTGTTATCTGAAATGAAAATGAATTAATGAATAGGCTAAACAATAAATAAAATGTCAATTATAAAGAAAAATAAAATGAAATTAATAAAATCAAACGAATTTATCAAGATAAATGATGAAAAAAAAAGTGCAAAATATGAAAGTTATCCAGGTAATTGAGTATTTATATGTCACTTGGGCGTTTTCAGCTCTTCACAATTTCCCCTCTCAGCTCCTCTGAAGTTCCTTCCTTTGGGTGATCTGGGCTGTGGACCTCTTGGTATTTTGTTGATGAGTTCATATATGCTTTACTATTACCGATTTGTTGGTTTCTCCTTGCTGTACAAAAATTTCAATGGCACTTAGGTTTTTAGATAAACGAAAACTTAATCTTTTCCAAAAGGTTCTTATTATTTTTTATGATATGAAGGGATTTATGATCACTCAAAATGTTTGTCATATACACTCTTATTTACACAGCTTAATGTGTTCCGATCACTTGGGAATTTATGTTTTTTTATTGAATACCTATTTTAATCGAAAATTAATCCATTTTCTATATCAGCAGTGTAGCCAATAAGTAGAAGGTACATCTTATATTTGAGAACGTAAAGTGTATCTGAAGACAGGTTGGTTGGGTAACGGAATCCATTTTTTCTTAAAAAAACAATTGTATTTTTTGCCAACGGTTTTCTTGCCAGGGCTCGAAAAGTAGTTTCTTCGAGCCCTGAAGAAGAATTTAATGAAACTCGAAACGTTGGCAAGAAAACAATTGTTAAAAAAAATGATCATGTTACCCAACCAACGTTTCTTCAGAAAAATTATTGGATCACTAAAATAGTAAAGTCTATCTTTAAGTACTTTTTTCTCTGAATACCTATAAATTTTAACAGAGTCTAGTATATGGAGAAGTATTTTTGCACACAGAATTTACTTTTTGTCTTGATGAATATATTTTTTTTCAGACTTCTTCCCTTGTTGATGACCATTTTGTTTGTGCCAATTGTTTTATATCATTGAGAAATGCTTTGGGATTTGTGAAGAAATGTTTAGAAACTGAAAGTGTGATAGCAGAGGAATTGAAAATTAATTCTGGAAACGGTGAGTTCCAATGCCTGTTTTAATGTTATCAAAAAATATACATTGTTTTCATATAAATACTGTTGTTTGCCTCAAAATAGAGTAGTTGATTATTATTTCATTTATTTTCATAGGAAATATATTCCTTGTAACTTTTGTTAATTTCAAGTCAAAAAATCTGTAATTGTCTGAAAGTTTCAATTGATTTTGGAAGTACATTCATGCTCATGAACTATGCACCATCGAATTATTTGTATACACAATGTGTGCAATAGAATTCAGACCATAAACTGATAACTTTAAAAATTTTACTCAAAAATAGTGAGAATTGGACTTGATGTTATATAAACATTTTTTTAAACGACCTGAGATTAAATTATGACTTATAAAATAACGTGCATATATTTTTTTGATAAATTTTGTATAATACAATAATTTTTAGTGATACCTATTCAACAGCCTTCAAAATTGAAACCATCAAGACTATATTCAATAAAAACAATCATCCTACATACTTCCATGTCACTTTAATTATTTTACTCATTTCTCTTGCTAGTGCTGAGAGCCTCTTTGCAACTGCCTATAATTTGTACAGCAATAGAAGGATCTCTAATATTCTTTTTCTCTGTCAAGTCTAGTATGACGATTCTTTGAATTCACCCATGAACAATATATTAAGGTTTTTGGTATTGAGGTAATAGGTTTTTGTTTCATAAACAACTCATTATTATTCGAAGTATAGATGTACCAAAAATGAAATTAATGTAATAATAAAAGATCAGTAAAAAAGACAAAAACACACATGTAATTTTGAAAATAATGAAATGTTTCAAAAGGTGATGGAATTGAGTTTGTATTGAACATGCCTGATTTCTTCTAATTTTTCAGATTCTTTGGAAAAGGATGTGAAGCAGCAATTCACAAATACTGAACTACTTCTATCTGATACAACAATCAATGAAAGAAATGAATTTCAAGACAACGAATATGAAATTGAAGAAGATATCAATTTTGATGAAGATATCAGCTTTGATGAAAAAGAGGAAGATGATGATGATGATGACCATGAAGAAGAAGACTCGTCATTTGAGTGTGATATTGATGTGGAGGAGCATGATTATGTTTTGAATGGTATTACTAATTTGATAAAGGCAAATGAAGGAAATAAATACAAAAAATTCGACAAAAAACAATCAGATCTCTGCAACAATGTAATAAAGTATTTGAAGTTTTTACCTTTGGAATATGCTAAAGTTGGTGACCATGATAGAATTGTATCTATTCCAAATTTGGAACCCGAATTTGTGTACAGTCTGCAAAAGAATAAAATCAACTTTTTACAGAATTGTGCCAAATTCGATGAGAATGTATTCAAAAACAAACGTGTGCTTTTGATTGGCAGCCACACGAAAATAAAGTGCCTCTTGTGTGAAGAACATTTCAATACAGAAGAAGAAATGCGAGTCCATATATCAGATGTTCATGGATTTACCCGAGCTTTTATTTTGGACACTCATTATTATCAGTACTTGCCTGGCTCTTCTATTTATTGTGAAGCATGCGGAAAAAACTGCAGGACAGTAGCAAGTAAAAAAGTTCATTTGAAGAATTGTTATGTACTTCCTTGTCCATACTGCGATAAAATGTTTGCTCCATTTCAAATGCGGAAACATACTTTAGAACAACATAATGATCCAAAACCCTTCAAATGTTTTTACTGCAAACAAGAGAAAAACAGCTTCATGAGTTTCAAGTCTCATTTATGTGAAATTCTTAACTGCGAAACATGTGGTAAAGATTTCGAAAATAAGAATAGTTTGAGAATTCACAAGAAAAAATGTTGTCCAGAAGATGTTACCACCAAAAGATGTAGTGAGTGTAAATTGAGGTAGGATTTTTTTTACATATTTCCAACAATGCACTAAGTATTGAATTTTGAACTTCATTTCTGTCTAATTGCAAAACGTATTTTTCAACTGCAAAACATATTTTTCAAATGCAAAAAGCATATTTTCCCTAAACATGTCTATGTGGATTTTGATAAAATTTTTAGGCAGTAATGGATGAAGTCTGTAATAACTATATAACTGTAGTGCAGATACATATTTTTCACATTTCACAGTGATAACTGAAAACTACTCAAAATTTAAGTGACAGTTCTTGTTTGTCTTCGAAAAACACATACCCAGTGATTGAAAGCATCTAACAGGAGTTGAAATAACTACAAAATAAGTCTATGATCAATTCAAACATTCAGATATGTCAGATATGATGAATCAATATTTACGAATATGGTAAATGATTATTTCAATAAAAATATGCAAGACTAGTTGTTGCCCTCGTAGAATTTGGTTTGTCAAATTAGATTTTGTGACAGACCATTTTAAAACATAGTTACAATCTTCAAAGTATTACTGATAGATTAACAAGAATTTTCTGAAACAGATATCAAATTTGAATGATGTCAGTGTTTTCATATTTTCTTACTCCTCAAAATATCAAAAACAGCTAAAGCTTGTACAAATAGTAGAAGTGTAAAATGTTTCCAAGTGTCTCAAACAAATTATTCATCAAGTAGATTATACAATAGTTAAAAAGCGTTCATAAACCAATAGCTGGTATTGGACCTGAGTATTAGGTTAAACTTCCACAATATTGAAGTCAGTAATTTTTAGTTTGTATTCATAAGTAGGCGAATTTAGTAGCCCATTTTTTTAAACAATAATAGTCTTGATTTTTTATCCAAGCCACCATTACAGGTTATGTTAGGTAAAGTCATATTCTAAACTATAAAAAAATATATTTATATTTTTTTTAACGCAATCAGTAAATGGTTGGAAAAAATATGTATTGTTTTGATATTGAAGTCAAAAAATATGTTTCCATATATTTCTCTATTATGAGTTTTCAGGAAGTGAATTCCATTAAAAAGAATACATTTTTGTTCAAAACTTGTTTTTAGATTGAGGGATATTGAGTGCAAAAAGTATCATTTCTATCTTTTGATACTATCTCAAATGGTGGAAAAGTTTATATTTCAATTCTTTTTGTTAATTTAATTTCCTTGCAGGTTCAGCTTGAGTTCTTTTCAAAGCCACGTGAAAACTCATGAATTTCCATGCTCAATTTGTGGAAAAATAATGCCCAATAGAAGGGTACTGTATAAGCATGAATACCATCATAGCGTGAAAAAAGGTTCACTGTGTCCTTTCTGTGGTAAGTGTTAGAATTTAAAAAGAGAGTAAATTAGAAAAATGTCTAGAAAATTTTTCAGTTTTTTAAAGGATTGAATTAGTATTTAGCAGTACTGTGGAATGTTGAAAAACTTAGATGAATGTTCAAATTTCGCTGGCTACGATTTTTCATTTTTTTATGTTGGAACATCCATCTCGAACATATATCTACAGTTTCAGCTGTTTAGAATGTTTAATTTGTTGGTGAGAGTCATACAAGTTAGAAGTATTTTGCGTGTTCAGCGCTTCTCTGCTATCCAAAAAAAAATTGATCAAAGAATTTGCATAAAATTTAGAGTAAAAAATGAAAGTGCCTAAAATACTTGAAATGTTGACAGTGGTAGGTATACGGTGATTGTACTCTGGGTCAGAAAAATGTTTACAAGTGGTACACGCTTTTCCCAGAAGGTCGAGAAGATTTGAATGACGATGCCCCAGCACATCAACTACCGATGAAAATGATGGGAAAGTGAAAAAAATTGCCATTGAGAACTGTCAAATTGCTATCAGAGAAGTTGCTGAGGATGTTGGCATGTCGGTTGGCTCATGCCATGGCATGAATCGTCTGGCAGCGAAGTTCATTAAAAAATTGCTGAATTTTTATCGAAAAAAACCGTCGCTTGAGCATCGCTCAGGAGATTATAGTCTGAATCGTCACTTTAAACTTTTTGTTTCAGTGTCTTCTACATGTAAATTTCCACACTTGAAAGCCTTGATCGCAGAACCTTTCTTGGTAACATTAATGTTACGATATAATTCACAGATTTTATTTCACATATAAAAATTGTCTACGTGTTTGTTTACCAGATTGTTTGTTGCTCCTGAGTCAACAATAAATGTTAGAATTCCATCCGAGACAGATAAAGCAGTGTTGCCATTATTATCTGTTTCACCGTTATGAAGAAGTTCAGATGGCTCATTCAACATTGAACTGTATTTTCGAAATGAGCTACATTCGTACTGTCTCTGCACTCATGACGTTTGAGTCCAGGTTTGCCACACGTATAACATTTGTAGGGAAATTTTGACACATATTGTACTCGACCTCTCCTATTTGACGTAAATTGTCCTCTTCCTCTACCATTTGTCCCTGCTTTTCCCACGAAAAGAACCTCTGTAGCTACTGATAAAAGCAGCCTATTTGATTGTTTTCTTGTCGTATTTCTTCCTGCAGTAACTTGCTTTTAACAAATTACAGTAACATCTTTGGGATTTGTATTAAACATTAAATCAATTGAAGTTGTTAATGCTCGATAACTGTTTGGCATTGCTGCTAGCAATTGACATATTATTTTGGGTTCTTTTAAATTACCTCCACTAGTTTTCAGATCAAGGACAGTCTTTTCAAAATCTCCAATGAAATTACTTAAGCAGCATTCGTTATATTTCATATTTCTTAGTTTCTTGGGTAGATCAACTTGAATTGACAATTCCTTACGTGTATACGTATTTTACAATGCTTATACATTTTTTAACTGTTTTCTTGTTCTTCACTGTTTCAAAGATATTATCAGTTAGCCACTGTACTATAATGTTCCTAGACTTTGCATCTTTCTTTCCAAATTGTACCAGTTTCTCTTGGTCCCCTGTGTATTCAGTGTCAGTGTCTCCATGCTTTTTCTATTTCGAGGTACTTCCAGAGATGAATGTCTCCAATGCCTTTGTGCCAAATAACTTCCAGTTAATTCCACTCAGATATATCAAGATCTGAGCCCAAAACCTCTTAAAAACAAAGTTTTTGCATTCCACTTTTACTTCATATAATACTGATTACTTAATATTTCATAGATATTTATTCAAGTAATATTCTTCTACCATATTACATTTCACTTAACAACGACATACATATCATAGAACAACAACAATGACAATTGATATAGAATTGTACTCTAACAAAATGAACTCTTACTAATGATTTTTTTTGTTACTAATTAGTTTTTGACCATCTGAAAAAAAATTGTTAGGACTTGAGTTTTTATATGAATATATATTATACTGTGATAAAAATGGCTACCGGTGTAGAAGTGTGTGTAAACAATGCCTATAAATGTTGTAAAAATAAGCCATTCTGTAACTATGTCTGCACAAAATGTGCCAGTATTTTTCACAAAAGTTGCTTACCCAGATACAGAAAAATAAAAAAGATGAGTGGCAACAAAATTATTTGTTGTAATGAACAAACTGATGAACAGGACATGGAACTCAGCACTTTGGAGAAAACAATATCAGAGTTAAGTGAAGATGGGGAAATGAAGAACAAACACATAACTGAATTGAAAAAACAACACAAACAGT